GAAGGACTGCAAAAACAGAGCGCAAAACAGGCTCTTAGTCTAAAAGTTAACTACCTGCAAGAAGTCACCAGCTCATCTCTATTTAAAGTATTTTCTATTAGGCACATTTGTGGCTATTTTATTTGTGGAGCCTTTCTCACCCTGCAGAAGGACCTATGCTTAATGGTGTCTTTTGTTAGCGTACTGTGCTTAGGATGTTTAGAACAATCATGAGCATTCTTTGCAGTAGGAGCACACATATTCCAGACAAGCCAGAGTGCCAGCAAAAGGGTTTGAATTGAAGCATTTTCTTCATCTTTGGCCCCTTCATAGCGTACCAGCATCTAGGAGATTTATTAATTAGGGTTTTAAGTTGGTCCTCGTTCAGTGAAAGAGGAGCAGGAGAGCTCTCGGCAGGCAGCACAAGAATTTGCAGCAGGGCGAACAGAACAACAGAAAAGGGGGGAGGATGCAGGGCGGGGTAGAGGCCGGGGCCAACCTGAGGGCCCCTTGTGTCCTGAACAGCCTTGCCTGTCAAGGTCTTCTCACGACCTCGCCATGGGTGGGATCTCCCACAGCGGCTCCCGGCAAGACTTTAAATATATACATCTTTCTTTAATCTGTCTGACATTAATTTATATTTTCTGTTTGTTTCTGTTCATTTGGATAGCATTACAACCTATTTTTTTTTTACTAAAATATTACATAACCAGACTGCCTTTAAATACCTCTCTGTTCTCAAATTGTCATTTGTTGATACTTGAGTTCTAATCGTTTGCAGTGCAGAAAACTTGTAAATGATTTTTAACATCTATAGCTTGTTGAAGGCAGTGAATTTTCTTTAGTTGATGTTGATCAAGCTTTAGTATTGTTAAAAATTGATGAGAAATGACAAATTGAAGGGAAAGATTTCTGTCACTATTTTACCATCTTTTAGAATCTACGTATATGATCAGATTAATAGAAGCACTTCAAAAAAAGATGATTTTGTTAATGTATTTGTTTTAATTTTGATGATTTTCTTAATATTATAGTTCGTGCGCTTTATCAGTCATGATTTTCAGAACTTCTAGATGAGTAATTGTCACATATTTTGATATTAGGATTCTACAGTCTTAAATATTATTGAGGACTCGAGCCTTTTTTGGTGGGTTATATTTATTGATACTTATCAAATTATAAATTACAATTGAGAAATTTAAGAATATTTATTCATTTAAAAAGCTAACGTGTTATATTTTCTCTTAATATTATATAAAAGCCTGGCAGTTGGTAACCTCTTAAAGCTTAGTTGTGATGCGGAATATGAAACCATTCAGTGAACTTTTCATAGTGTTTGAAGTCAGAGAGCGCACTCCACAAGACCATCTTCATTTGTGACACCAGTTGCAAAGTTCAGGGAGTTTTAAGACTATCCTCAGGTTTGATAATTCACTAGGAGGACTCCCAGAACTCACTGAATGGTTTGTTACAGTGAAAGGATACAGATTAAAGTTAGCCAAAGGAAGAGGTGTAGAGGCGGAGTTCTGAACCTGGAGTTTCACTGTCCTCTCCCCATGGAGTCACGGACAGTGTTAGGTTCATGGTAATGAGGTGTGACAATGTACGTGGAGTGCTGCCAACCAGAGACGCTCAGCTGAGCCTTGGTTTCCAGGAGTTTTCTTGGGGCCCTGTAGTTGGCTGCTTGAGCAGCCGCTCCCTCATCTCCAGCCCCTCTAAGGAAGACCTGACACCTTTAGTCTCCACCTTTCTGGAGATAGAGCAGCCAAAGATAAACAAAAACATAATTATCAGGCAGGATTTCCAACGCCTAAAGATTACCTCCCAGTAGCCAAGAGCAGCTGTCAGACCTCTCTTTGGGTACAATAAGTTCTCTCCTATACACTATCATATTAAAATCTGTTAGCCTATCTTTGTTCTCTGTCTGATGGGATCTTTTAACCCATGCATGATTCTTTAGTATTATGAATTGGTCATTTGGAAAATACTGGCTCTTTGAATTTATGCACATCATTCAAATGTTGATACATTTCTAAATATTGGGAAGCTGTCAGACTCATCGTGGTGGATATGAGTTTTTCAACATCCTAATTTTGACCTGAAAGCTTGCATTTTATTATTAGCAACAAAATGCTCTTAGTTGTTTTTCTTGAAGTAGCCTCATTTTGTTTATTTCCTAAGAGAGTGCCTACCACATAACCAGATCTGAATAACCATGGTTTGTTAGTTATCGTCCAAGTAAAAATGGTGTTCAGATAAAAAGTGTCTGATTGAGCTCGTAATTCAGGCAGTCACAGGGGTTCCTTTCCTTGTGATGTCAGGCTTCAGTGTGGAACATGAGGGCTTTATACATACTTCCATTTTGTCACAAAACATTTTTTAAAAATTGTATTCAAGGATTTCAGTTGAATAAATCAATACTTTTTACTGCTTCATGAAGGACATTTCAAAGTGAAACTGGCTTTAAAAAAAAAAAAAACAATGGGGTGGCAGTAAAGAAGCAAAATGAATGTCAGTATAGTTTGGTGTCAGTTGTCTTGAGTTGTGTGAAGGTCCCAGCAGTTTTATCACCATTGCTTTTATGCCATTGGAGGAAATGTCAGCATAGTACAAAAGGCAAAAAGCATTTTACTGTAATTAGGAAAATAGTTTGACCTTGGAGTCACCCCTGAAAATATCTCAGTAACCCAGTAATCCTTGGACCAAACTTTGAAAACCACTGTTCTTAATAAAATGTGAGATGATTGTTTTTATGCCAGGTAGTTGGTGAATGAATATATGTTACATTTCCATTCTATCTGTTTTTATTTCCCTGTCAAGGGAAATAATGGACTTTTAAAACTAATTCTTTATTTTGGCTTTACTCTTACAAGAAACAAACGTCACAGTACTGACTGGAGAATAATTAACAAGTTGGCCATTCTTAAGTGTATTTATTCTTATCATAATCAAATAAGCTTATTACTTTTTAAGCTTATTTTGTGTTTTAATTGGGACATCCCAGGTGGCTCAGTGGTAAAGAATCCCACCCGCCAGCGCCAGCGCAGGAGATGCAGTTTTAACCCCTGTGTCAGGAGGACCCCCGGAGGAGGAAATGACAACTGCTCCAGTGCTCTTGCCTGGAACACTGCATGGACAGAGGGCCCTGATGGGCTGCAGTCCACGGGGTCACAGAGAGTCGGATGCAACTGACCATGTGCGTGGTTTAATTAGAAGCCATTAAATTATTGATTATATTCTTTGCAGCCAAAGATGGAGAAGCTCTATACAGTCAGCAAAAACAAGACTGGGAGCTGACTGTGGCTCAGATCATGAACTCCTTATTGCCAAATTCAGACTGAAATTGAAGAAAGTAGGGAAAACCACTAGACCATTCGGACATGACCTAAATAAAATCCCTTAGGAGTATACAGCAGAAGTGACAAATAGATTCAAGGGATTAGATCTGATAGACAGAGGGCCTGAAAAACTATGATGGAGGTTCATGACATTGTACAGGAGGCAGTGATCAAGACCATCCCCAAGAAAAAGAAATGCAAGAAGGCAAAATGGTGGTCTGAGGAGGCTTTCCAAATAGCTGAGAAAAGAAGAGAAGCTAAAGGCAAAGCAGAAAAGGAAAGATATACCCATCTGAATGCAGAGTTCCAAAGAATAGCAAGGAGAGATGAGAAAGCCTTCCTCAGTGATGAATGCAAAAAACAGAGGGAAACAATAGAATGGGAAAGACTAGAGATCTCTTCAAGAAAATTAGAGATTACCAAGGGAACATTTCATGCAAAGATGGGCACAATAAGGAAGAAACGGTGTGGACCTAACAGAAGCAGAAGATATTAAGAAGAGGTGGCAAAAATACACAGAAGAACTGTACAAAAAAGATTTCATGACCCAGATAACCATGATGGTGTGATCACTCACCTAGAACCAGACATCCTGGAATGCAAAGTCAAGTGAGCCTTAGGAAGTATCACTACGAACAAAGCTAGTGGAGGTGATGGAATTCCAGTTAAGCTATTTCAAACCCTCAAAGATGATGCTGTGAAAATGCTGCACTTAATATGCCAGCAATTTGGAAAACTCAGCAGTGGCTACAGGACTGGAAAAGGTCCGTTTTTCATTCCAGTCCCAAAGAAAGGCAATGCTAAAGAATGCTCAGACTAACGGATGATTGCACTCATCTCACATGCCAGTAAAGTAATGCTCAAAATTCTCCAAGCCAGGCTTCAACAGTACATGAACGATGAACTTCCAGATGTTCAAGCTGGATTTAGAAAAGGCAGAGGAACCAGAGATCAAATTGCCAACATCTGCTAGATCATCAAAAAAGCAAGAGTTCCAGAAAAACATATTCTTCTGCTTTATTGACTACACCAAAGCCTTTGGCTGTGTGGATCACAACAAATTTTGGAAAATTCTTCAAGAAATGGGAATACCAGATCACCTGACCTGCCTCCTTAGAAATCTGTACGCAGGTCAGGAAGCAACAGTTAGAACTGCACATGGAACAAGAGACTGGTTCCAAATTGGGAAAGGAGTACGTCAAGGGTGTATATTGTTACCCTGCTTATTTAACTTATATGCAGAGTACATCATGCAAAATGCAGGACTGGATGAAGCACAAGCTGGAATCAAGGTTGCTGGGAGAAATATCTATAATCCCAGATATGCAGATGACACCACCCTTATGGCAAAAAGTGAAGAACTAAAGAACCTCTTGATGAAAGTGAAAGAGGAGAGTCAAAAAGGTGGCTTAAAGCTCAACATTCAGAAAACTAAGATCATGGCATCTGGTCCCATCACTTCATGTCAGATAGATGGGGAAACAATGGAAACAGTGTCAGACTTTATTTTGGGGGGCTCCAGAATCACTGCAAATGGTGACTACAGCCATGAAATTAAAAGACCCTTGCTCCTTGGAGGAAAAACTATGACCAAGCTAGACAGCATATTAAAAAGCAGAGACATTACTTTGCTGACAAAGGTCTGTCTAGTCAAAGCTATGGTTTTTCCAGTAGTCAGGTATGGATGTGAAAGTTGGACTATAGAGAAAGCTGAGCACCAAAGAATTGATACTTTTGAACTATGGTGTTGAAGAAGACTTGAAAGTCCCTTGGAATGCAAGGAGATCAAACCAGTCAATCCTGAAAGAAATCAGTCCTGAATATTCTTTGGAAGGACTGATGCTGAAGCTGCAACTCCAATACTTTGACCACCTGATGGGAAGAACTGACTCATTTGAAAAGACCCTGATGCTGGGAAAGATTGAGGGCAGGAGGAGAGGGGACGACAGAGGATGAGACGGTCGGATGGCATCGCTGGCACAACGGAACCGAGTTTGAGCGAGCTCCAGGAGCTGGTGATGGACAGGGAGGCCTGGCGTGCTGCAGTCCATGGGGTCTCAAAGAGTGGGACACTGAGCGACTGAACTGAACTGAAATCATCAATAGACTGAGTTATCTCAAAGTCTTTCAAACCAAGAAGCCACATTTTGCCTACACTTTTAGGTGAAAACACCCCTGACTAATGTGGTTGTGGTGGTTTAGTCACTTAAATTGTGTCTTACTCTTGCCAACCCATGGACTGTAGCCTCCTAGGCACCTTTGTTCATGGGATTCTCCAGGCAAGAATAAATTGGAGTGGGTTGCCATTTCCTTCTCCAGGGGATCTTCCTGACCCTGAAACTGAACCCAGGTCTCCTGCAGTGCAGGCAGATTCTTTACAGACTGAGCTATGAGGGGAGCATAGCTAAGGTGGTTATCAATTCAGTTCAGTTGTGTCCAGCTCTTTGTGACACCATGGACTGCAGCATGCCAGGCCTCCCTGTCCATCATCAACTCCTGGAGTTTACTCAAAGTCATGTCCATTGAGTTGGTGGTGCCATCCAACCATCTCATCCTGTGTCGTCCCCTTCTTCTATAGGAGGAGAGGAGGAGAAGGTGGTCATAAGGTACAGTTAATCTCAAGTCAAAGGAAAGTTCTTGTGTTATGTATCATATCCATAGTGGGAAGATCCTCCCAAATCTTAACTTGCCCTGTAGTAGCATAACATTATAATGTCTGCTTACTCAACATGTGTTTCCTCACAAGATAAGTTCTTTCAGGTCAAGTGCTATTTGTTTCTTGTTCATTGTTGTATACTTCAGTGCTTGCTACAGTCTAGGCATATAATAATTTTTGTTGTTGAAATTTCTTTAGATTTTTCTACAATCTGACTTCTGCTTATCTTTCCAGCTTTATCACAAACCCTCACTTTTTCCAGTTTCTATGCTGATTATACCATATTGCCAGTGCATACGTCGCTGGCTCTCTGACTTTGCTCATGTTCTTCTCTCTAGACCCTTTTCCTCTGTCTGGAAAATTCACTGTATTCAAACCTTGGTTAGATATTATATCCTCAGTGAATTCTTTGTGGATCTCATGAATGAAAGTAATAGATCTCATGTTATTGTAACCAGAATCATTATTTAGTACATAAAAATAGTTAGGAGCTTTGGGGTCTGGAGTCAGGCCTGGAATCTGTCTTGGCTCTATCAGTTACTAGCTGTGTGATTTTGGATGGTTAGTTAATTTCTTTAACTTTCAGTTTTCCCATATGTAAAATGGAAGTAATTGGGTTATTATGACAGTTTTAAAGCGCATACTATTCTGTGAAGCCTCTTACACAGTGTTTGACACAAGAGTCACTGCTCATTAAATGTTAACAGATTATTATTATTAGTTATAAAGCTTCAACTCATCAAGGTTATTCATCTACTCGCCTCTGACTAAACTGAGTGCCTCAGGGTCGGAAGCAGAGCCTCATGTAATAACCACAGCTCTACTTTCTAGAACAGTCTTAGATCAAGACTGTATGGACTGTGACTGGAATATGTAAAATACATTAATATCAGCTTAGTTCTGATGATTATTGTTCTGCAGTGATCTTCACCACAAATGAGAGTATTTGCACTGCTTTGCAATACTTTGCACATACTAGATTCTTAATTCATTACTGTGTTAATGAACATGTGGACAAACTCAGGGAGGTTGGACTACTTACTGTTACTGTTTACAGTGTATAATTGGTCATTATCTATTGATCTTGTGTTTTTCCCTATGTAAGTATTTCTCCTGATACTATGCTACAGTGAAATAGTTTGACCAAATCTTTTCATGGGAGCAAAAGGAATAAAAAGAGCAACTCTCCTGGCAGTCCAGTGGTTCAGACTCTGAGCTTCCAATGCTGGAGGCACATGGGTATGATCCCTGGTTGGGGAACTAAGATCCCACGCCATGCGGTGCAGCTCAGTGAATAAAGTAAAATTGATAACAAGGAATAAAGGAAATGGAGGATCGTCTTTTGCTATTAACACTGTCACGGTGATTTTTTTCCTTCCAGAAACGAAATCCTGAAGTTCGACACGTAGATTTAGAGATACTGTAGACTTGGTGGGATGAATCACCTTGGAGGGAGCCTTGGAACCAAGTTTACGAAGACTGCTTTCCCACACTGAGGGAGTCAGTGCTGTTCAGAGCCGTTTGTTTGAAGATGGAGGAAGTATTTATATGAAGAGGGCGATGCAACAGTCCACAGAGCTAAAACAGCTTCTTCTAAGAGACGTATTACAAGTTGAATCAATTTGGAAATCATGTTTTTATGTTTCAGTGGGAAATGTTTTAGTTACTTAAATTGTTCATAATTTCTTATTTTAGCCTGTCTGTGTGTATTGTACCTGCAATCATGTTTCCTTCCTTCACATGGGTAAAAATAAGCAGCATCCATAAGATTATGATTCTTTATTTTGTTGCCAGTGAAGATTTCACTCCATCAAAACCTGTCAGTCTTGAACATTCTGGCTAAATCTTGTATTCTGGTTTTTAAAACAGTCACTGGTTTCCAGTCTGTCTTTCCTTACAGAATGTAGAAATTATTTCAACATGGCTTGTATTTCTGCCCTGAGCACTACGGGGAACACTGTGCTAGTAACTTAGTTATCCATAAATGTCCATTCCAGTAGGACTTTGTTACTCAATTGAAGGAAGATAACTTCAGTGCACTCTTTTAGGTCATGCTAGTTGCCGTTGTGTAAAATTTCTTTTCTCTCCTTTGTTTTTTTTTCTTATTTAGTTTAATTTTTCTAATGGTAGGAAATATAACCCTAGAGGTTTCCATGGGCCAGTGTGATGACTGGTTTTTAGTTTTTGTTTTTTTAACTGGCTCCAATGCTGCCATGTGTATTTACTAGGAGATAATGCATTTATAAGCATTTTAACATTCTGTAAAGTGGACTAGAAATATTTATGATTTTACAGACACCACAGCATTTTATTTTTAATTTATTGTAAAAGAGGCACTACTTATGTAAATCTGAACTGTGATGTTTCTCGCTTTAAGAGATAGAGACATAAGCCTCTTATGCAGAGACTTGTGACCCTGACTTTGTTTAATGTCATAGTCAATAGTATGACATGAGTTTCTTGCAGTTACAAATGGGCATTTAGCATAAAGTATGATTATAACATTATGTAAGTAGCTTTCTAATGATCATAAAGTATCAAGGTGAAAAAAACATGCAATTCAGTAATTGAAAACTTAGTGCAGAACTACAGCTGTGTCTCTCCATCCGTCAAACCCGTTCACATGCACTTTAAATTGTTCAGGTTCGGGTGAGCATTGTCCATGCAAGCGTGATGGCTGCGTGAGTAATCTCTTTGCTGCAAAAGGGGGTGTTTAAGGACCTAGGTCAGTGTCTATAAACTTAGATTGAAGTTTATCAATTATAGCAAATTGTAATGCCAGAAACAAAAAAATAAACATTTGATTAAAGGGTTTGTAGTGGTATTTTTTTGACCCAGAACTGTCATTTACTGCAAAATTGTGAAAATCTAGTTTGGTGTACATTTTTTACCATTACAAAGCATTTTGCATGCTGTACATTTTAAGTGAAATAACATTCCAATTTTATTTTTAAGATATAAAACTCCTTTATACATATACCTGTATACACCCACAGTTTGTTCTTATGGTTTCAAATTCTTCACCCTTTTTAAGAAAACTTTTTTACCCATTATAATTCACTCTATTTTCTATATCTTCCTCCCTCCCCTTTCCCGCCTGCCATTTTGTTATTCCATGTCAGTGTCATATGGGAAGGTACCAAATTATATCTAATTTCCTCCTAGTAAAATTACTCTGAAAAGTATCACCTGGCTAGACAAGAATATTAACTTATTAAAAAAAAAAATCTCAAGTTGATGTGCAATAGTTATTCCAGATGGTACATTTTGTTTAAAGGACTCCCTGACAGAAGCCAATTGCTTATACTTCTTTGACTTTTCTAATCTGATCTTGATTGAAGTAATACCTATTCTTAAATCATAATTGAAGGTTACGTTTCTGTCCTTTCTTCCCGGTCTTGTCCTGCACTGATACTTTAAGTGAAATTTGACATAAAGAAGTACAGCCTATCTAGGAATTTAATGTATAACAACCCTGGTCCTTTTTTTCTTTTCTTTTTTTAATGAGAGTCAAATTTGAATTTTGAAATCAGGGAATTTGATCCCCTTTCTTTAAGATAATATCTAATGTTGGACAGAGACGAGGTCAGTTAAGGCCATTACTTCTCTTTGTATTAAGCTGAAATCTGGAGACTAACAAAGGTGAAATATACTTGTTTTCAGCCCTGGCTGTAAGTAACAGGCCCCAGACTATGGAAGGTGGCATGTCTCTCAGACCACAGCAGAGGATGAGGAGTAGGGATCTATTTTTAAGTGGACTATGTTAGTGGCCAGTAATATTCAATTCCAAAGAGGGAGATTCCTGAACATATACTTAGGAAACTGTAAGATAGAATCAGATTGGAAAATCTTCACGTTTTTTAAAAAATAAACTTATATCTGCATACATCCTCCTACACGCCAAATCACCCAGAATGACAAAATGGCAGTAGACTTGAATTTGGGTATATGACTTCAGTGTGTTACCTTAATTATCCTGTACTTTGGGTAATGCTTTTTGGTAAAATTATATTATCTAAAGGAAATGGCTTAAGTTTTAAATCTGATAACTTTATGAGAATGCTGGAAACTACAGAAAATTGCACAGGCGTTTGGAATTTATACTATTTTTCTTAGATTGCATTTGTCAAGCTTTGGCATTTCTTTTAAATGTGATGACCCCCAATTTGCCAAACTGTCAGAAGTCAGTGAAGCAAAGAATTGAAGGTAAAATGTTGATTCAAAGATTGTCCCCCCTAAATCCCTCATCTTTGTCTCTGAAATGGAACTTTGGAAAGCGTTTATATAGAAGATTGGTCTGGCAGCCTTTATATTTGCATTTAAGTTTACTAGCATCTCTAGACTTGGTTTTATGGAAAAGAAAAAATTTTTGTTTCTGTTACATTGTATTTCATCTGTTTGATCTCTGTGGCAGGTTAGATTTCCCTGGCCCCTCAGGATGCATTCTTCCTTAATTGTTGTATGTAAATAAGAGTGTTTTACTTCTTAGTTTGGGATTTTTCCCCCCCTGATAAATAAATGTTTGTTAAACAAATACTACTTTACCTCATGTGCTAACCTTAAATATCATGCCTTTGTTTCCAAACTATTATTTCTTGAGCATAGTTGTTAATTTGTGGGTGTCCTCAGTTTTACAAAACTAAGATATAAAAATCCTTAAATGTTTTATAATCCATTTTCAACATAAAGAGAACTATTATTAATATACTGTTAGGATATCATGTGCTTGATAAAGTGAAAATTAAAAAGTGTATATTCCTTAGTGACATACTGTATCACTACACTTTGACAAAATAAGATTATTGAAACATGTTAGTTGGATTATGTCTTTTGAGATATACCTATATAGTATGTTTAGGGGGGAAAAAGTACAAAAATGAAAACAACAAAAGATTGAGTCTAGAGCCAGCCTGCAGTGGGGTCCAGGTTGAATTCTGTACTAATCCTGCAGGAAGCCTGGCTGTGTTTCCTTTTTCACAAGAAACTGAGCCACATTAGTTATTCAGAGTAATTCGGTATTTTGACAGGGCGTATCTCCCTCCTCCAAATCAAAACATATTGAAAATAAAAGCAGTACAGTTTAGAATTTGTGAAGCAAAATACAAAATATGTGTGTGTCTTTAAGAGCTTGTAGAAGTTTTAAAATAGACAAAAGTAAAAAAAAAAAATCCGTTGTATATAATGGCTATCAACAGGATAATTTGAGCTGTTTATGCCAAGTTCCGTTTTTTATGTACATGCGTCCCTCAGAAAGAGTGCAGGTTCTGTCCCAGACCACTGCAATGAAGCAAACATTAAAGCAAGTCATACAAATTCTCTGGCTTCCCATTGCGTATAGAAGTTATGTTGGACTCCGTGGTGGTTCAGTGGCTGACTCCATGCTCCCAGTGCAGGGGCCTGGGTTAGATTCCTGTTCAGGGAGCTCGATCCCACACGCCACAACTTAAAAGAGTTTGCATGCTGCAACTAAAGTTCCTCAATGCCGCAGCTAAAAAAAAATTTAAAGAAAGATCGCACATGCCAAAAATGAAGACCTAGCACAGCCAAGTAAATGTTTAGAGTTATGTTTAGCATATTCTGTAGTCTGTAAGCGTGCAATAGCATTGTGCCTAAAAGCACGATGTAAATACCTTAATGTAAAAGTGCTTTATTGCCAAAAATTGCTAACCATCATCTGGGCCTTTTGAGAGGCTTCTTGCTGATGGAGAGTCTTGTCTTCTCGTTGATGGCTGCTGGCTGACCAGGGTGCTGGCAGTTGCTGAAGGTTGAGTTGCTGTGGCAATTTCTTAAGATAATGAAGTTTCCCTACGTCATTGGACTTGCTTGCTTGAACAGTTTCTCTGTAGCATGCTATGTCATTTGATAGCATTTTACCCACAGCAGAACTTTGTAGATTCTCCTCCAATGTTCTATACTGTAGAAAATTGAAGTTAATCCTCCCAAACCCTGCCCTGCTTTATCAAGTAAATTTACATTATATTTTCAGTACTTTGTTGTCATTTCAATATTCTTCACAGCATCTTCACCAGGAGTCATTCCAGCCCAAGAAACCACTTTCTTTGCTTATTCATAAAAAGCAACTTCTCATCTATTACAATTTTATCATGGGATTGAAATAATTCAGTCACATCTTTAGGCTCCACTTCAAATTCCAGTTTCCTTGCTATTTCCACTGCATCTGCAGTTACTCCCTCCACTGACACCTCAAGTCATCTATGAGGGTTGGAAGCAACATCTTCCAACCTGCTGTTAATGTTGATAATTTGTCCTCTTTCTGTGAACCACTTCTGTTCTTAATGACATCTACAATGGCGAATCCTTTCCAGGTTTTCAATCGACTTTATCCAGATCCATCAGAGGAATCACTATAGCTTTATGAGATACATTTCTTAAACAATTAGATTTGAAAGCCTTGGTCCATGGGCT